GAAAGAACATCACAGATTTAAGGCAGCTTCAGTTTTCTGTAACATAGGCAGCCCCTCTGGACTGGTCAACCAACCCACAGATTGTGTGGAATATAATGATGGGTCTCAGCCTGGGCAAGCATTAATAAGTTGGGTTTTTTTTGGTTTTTTTTTTTCCTTTTTTTTTCTTTTTTTCTGTGAGCATCTGCCCTTGATTCCTTATGTCAGAATAACTCCAATGTGTACATATTTCAAGTTATCACATTTAATAACATGTCATTACACCTCATTTCTTATATTCTAGAATTTCACTGAGACCCAAAGAAAAGAGAAAGCTATTTCTATAGCAGCATAGGAAGCCTGCACCTCAGGCAAGCGGCCAGACAGGTCACATCTCGATGCCGACTGAGAACAGAGCCAGTGTTATAAATATAGCCAAGGTGTTATATATATAGGAGTTAAAAAGAGACTTGTGTACTAAGTGGCTGCTTGACACAACACCAAAATGCTTCTGTTGTGGGGGTTAGGTCTCAAACATTTGCCACTTAGCATAAAGATTTCTTTGTCACCAGCAAATGAAGACCAATCAGCTGCTAACTTCAGTTCAGGAATACGCCACTAATGATGGAAGATACCCAATATCTACTTAGCGACAGGGCTGCAAACCATCTGCAAAGTCTGGAGATGCCGTCCTTGGACTCAGGCTCAGAGACCATTTAAAATCTCTGTATTACTGTCATGCACAAAGAATAGGAAACCATCTCTGTGGACCAAGGGTATATATACATTAAAAAATAGAACTACAAGTGTCATCTTGAACTCTGCATGCGTGTGTGTGTATGTAAGCAGAAATTATGTGCAGAAATGACTTACTAGAAAGAAAGGCATCTGGGTTAAATGTGCTCCTCACTTAGTTAATCATATGAAAGTGTCATTCTGAAGAACTTTGTGTATTAAGCCTTACTGAGGAAAGTGCTTTGTTCAAAAGCGATACGCACACATCAAATGTGAGAACACAAGTTCCCGTCTGACCTGCAAAATCCACCATTTACCCTGTTATTTATGCAAGCTGCTGTCAGTTCATTTTTTACACACTCGTGTAGTATTTTCCAATCTATGATGAATGTTAAACAAGATGAGGGTTATTCCTTGACATGTCAGAGTGGTGAAGAAAATAAATTACCTCTTTGTGAGTTCCAAGTTCAATGTATCCACAGAGAGGGTGAAATGCTCCTGTGCCACAGACATAAACATGGGTTCGGTTGTAGGGCTGAAGAACCCTGATAAAATTGGCACATTCTGTCTATTAGGAAAAGAAAGAGAAAGGTTAATTTTCATGTTTATTCTTCTCTTTCACATTATACTTTGTACTAGGTTATAGCCATAGTATTGGTGTATTTAAACTCAAAACTACTGTAGCAGAGACTGTTTACTAAATAGTTCAAAGTTGTGTTGTGATGGCTACAATTTTGCAGTGGCTATCTACTAAGCAGTTCATCAATCAGACTTGCAAGCCTAATTCTGCTACAATGCTTACAGCCACAAGAAGCTATGTGGTTACAGCATAGTTTGGAGGATATCTGCTCAGCTTGTGTTGCAGGAAACAACCTCTGTCAACAACTGGGCAGAGGTTGGAGAGCCACTGGGTTAGTCTGGCTACCAACCCTCCTGCCTTTGCTCCCAATTCAGGGTTCTGCGCAAGATTTAACACCAAAGATTACACGATAGAAATCATTGTGGCGGACTGAAGGCCTTCAACATACTTCCAAGGGTATGTTTTGTGTATGAGTGAATTCTCTTTGCACCAACCACATCCTACTGGTCACTTTTATTTGGGCATTTCTGAGCCCTGGAGGTTGCTTGGGTCAGTTCTGGCTCTAGCTGGGTTTGGTCCTTGCTGGTAAGTAGCACAGGCGGCTGCTGCACGCTGCAAGGGTGCTACATGGGGTGGTAGGAAAGGCTTGTTGCAGCCTTCCCCAAAATTAAATACATACACATATAACAAGGTACTTAGGAGGGGATACACAGGAGATATTCATATGTTCAAGCTACTACCCTACACCTAAGAGAGAGGCAATCTGCAGAGACAATGTAGGAAGCAAAAAGGAGATATTTATGATCTATGTCCAAAACAAATATTCCCTTTTCTGGTCCCTTTCCTTTTGTTCTAGTGTAGAAATAGATCAGCACAAATCCTCCATATAGACCAGTATCAGAATTTTCCCAGTGCTCAGCAGAGGTGTTGTTTAGTTTTTGTCTGCTGTAAAGATAAGGGTAGCAATAAGTTAGGATAAAAAGTTGAAATTCCTCAGGCAGAGAGTTGAGAGAGTGTTTTGAGCTGGAGTCCACCTTGGTAACAGACAAGCTGGATAGAAACCACAAGATTTGTGGAGAGAAAAAGAAGAAATTTTATTATACAGCCAGGAAATGTTTACATTTATAATGGGCTCTAGACATATGATGTAATCTGTGCTATGCAAAAGAGATATGAAAGTTTTATAGTATATATGAATGCACCTTAAACACACTTCCTAAAGAGACTTCCTAAAGAAGATTTGTGGTTCCAGGGAAAAGCTAATGAGTCTGAGATTTTGTTTTAACCTTAGCTGCAGCTGTCTGCAAATTAAGTTAATTTGTACTCTGCTCTGCTACTTTATTTCATTAATGAATTGTAATGAAATTACATTCAGGATATTCCCAAGAAAAAAGAAACAGTTTGATGGGAAAGAAAGGATTTCAGGGGAGTATCGCCTGCGATACATTTCAGAGGAAAGTCCATTCGTCTCTCAATGGCATTTATTACATACAAGGATGACTTAGCATGATTGCTGCTTGCAATGCTGAGTATTTTTTCTTGAATCATTAACATTTAAAGAAAAATATAGAAGTGTAACGTTTTTTTAAATGAAGAAAAAACACTTAGTTCATTAGTTCAAGAAAAAAGTGTAACAACAACTTACTAACCCATTTTGTGCATTTAGAAACAAATACACAGATATACAATATTCTCAGCAATAATAGAAGAATATATACCATACTTACATGGGCATCTTTCCCAGCTAATTTGCATAATTCTACCTTTTCTTTTGCTGCAGGCCAGTAAATCTGTAACACAGTTAAAATAAGACAAAGATTATGAGTATTATAAATTGTCCTGTGACTGTAGTTTAACTATTTCCTTGAATGAACAGTTAAAACAGATTTATGCATGTTGAAGGAATTTACATGTAAATTGAAATGAACATGACTTCAAATACAGGGTTCCATTACAAAAAGGGAAGAGGCTTTAAATTAAAACCCCTGTTCTTTGTTCATTTCTTCATTGGCTATATGTACTTTTAAAAAGTACTCAGTTGATCTGGCTAGCACACCTTGTCACCATTATGAATTGCGTGTTTTTCTCAAAGATATGATGAGCCAAATCATCTTGAAACTAAACTGACTGCAAAACAGGGCAAATCACATTTGTGATGAATTTGGTCCAGTGAACTTGGCAAAGCGTTTATAAAAAAATACTTAGCTGTTACTGCCAATTTTCAAATGAAAAGAAGTTTTGTTCAAAAAACTAAAGGTAGCTTAAGGGAAATTTGTAGAACAAAAAGTACATTTGGCAGAAATCAATAGCACACGGTTTAAAAATGTCACCCATCAACACTAAGTGAGTTTACTGAGAAAATTATACAGAAGTTTAGAGAGGAATCTTAGATAATTGGTAGCATATATTATTACTGTTTCTCTTTCTTCTTTCATCTGCACTGCAGAATTCTATAAACTAGGTTTTGGTGTAGATGGAGCCAGATGACTAATTACTATCACTTATTGTAACCCCAATTATGTTAGTGAAGAAATATCAACAAACAACAGCTCAGGTTCTGGCTCATTGATTTCAATTAAACAGTCAAAATTGGATATTATTGAGTATATGTTTGATTCTATTAAATTCAAAACAGAAGCTAAATACAAAGTCTTCCATGCTAAACATAGATCTTTTTTCCTTCTTATTTTGACAAGACAAAGCTATAGCCATTTCTCATGACTAATAATAACAACAACAACAAATCATACTAATTTTTGAGCAAATATTGGTTAGGAAGTTGTCTCAAGTCCCAGGAACCAGTATGCAGATTACTAGTAGTCACAGGTGCTTTAGAGTAGTGTTGAGTCTCAAATCAGACTTTATAAAATCTTAAATAGTGAAATATATAGGAATAAATAATTATAATATGCATTAGAAAAAAACCATCAAGAAGGATGCACAACTCAACCACATGCAAGAGGAGTTAACCGCTGTAATATTCCCTTTCTCTCACCCAGCTGTTGGCACCTTGTAGGATGTGGCTTGCCACATACACAGGCTCAATCCCACACTGGTAAGGGAAGCTAAAGTGTGTCCTGTGTCAAACAGCTTTATCACTGTCCAAAATCTACAGTCAATATTCCTCTTAATCTGGAAACAGTCTTTTTATTTCAATTCTTCTTCTTCTCTTCCCAGTGAAAATGGATGTATTGGCTTTACACAAGGAAATTAATTTCCTCTCAAGTGAATTTATAGTTACCTTTCTGACTAGAAGCTCTTAGTAAAGATAATGTATTTTAAGTTACTTAAACCTTAACCCTTTACAGAAATATTTACTTAAAGTCAGAGATAAGGCAGTATAACAACATATCAGCACCAGAGCACAAATTTACTTTCCCAGAGCATTTTCTCAGAATGATGTCGTGATAGCATCCAGGTAGGAAAACGCAATCTGAAACCAGCCATGTCTGGATTACACAGTGTACAACGCCAGAAAGTACGGAGGAAAGTATTGGGAACACTGCAAAGCCATCGGGAAGAGCTGAAGGTAGCACCAGTGAACTAATCTGGTTTCTGCCTGGGCAGAATGGGATGAATCTCACTTGTAGCACTGGTCTGGCACAAGTGCCACTGGGTTAAGGAGGAAAGCTGAGACTTAAGAGGTGTTGGTGAAGAAAAGCTGATGAAAAGGAACATCTGGGGAAATACAAGATCATGGATCTCCAAATACATTTGGCCGAGGAGACTTAAGCAGACTGATCTTCAGTTGTCTTGTACATAAACATTATGTCAAATTCTGCCCAAGATCCAATATCAGTAACAGAGAAGGCTAGAGGTCTTTGAAGGCTTTCAGAGACTTTTGGCCAAAGTTTGGGTATCCAATTAGGTAAGCAAGATGTCCCTCTGTAGGCTTTTGAAAATGCCCAGCTTTCCTTGCCAACTACACAGAAAAACCAGACCCCTGCTTTTGGAGGCCCAGTTACATTCAAAGACATCTGCTTGAAGGCATCACACGTATTAATGGACTCAACTTTACCCTCAATTCTTCAACAGATTCCTTATGGGAAATAGTGTTTGTCGTTTTTTGTGGTTTTGCTGAGATATACACACCCCCTTTTCTATGATAATTGACCACAGTCAATTATCATTAAAAAATCAATTGTTTTACTTTCTGGCTACTCAACAACCTCAGTATTTAGCATTATACAAGGCCACATTAGACAATGAAAAGTGAAGCTAAGTGATCCAATTTTAAAATCAATTTGCAATTATATATGGGGGAGTTAAAGTGATATTTATTTGCTTTCCATATGAGAAATGAGAGGTTCCCAGAAACTGTCAGTTCTAAATTGTAATACGTCAAGAAAATTGTATAATAAATAATGAGCCAATGTGCTGAGCAAGAAAGCATAAACTTAATTTTTTATTAGATCACATGTTGTGTAACAGTACCACGGTCTGGTTCCCTCAAACACTGACAGGCAAGTAACTTTACACATGTAAATAGTCTCACTGAATTTTCATGTGCATAAGCTTATTTACATGCATCTGTGTTGACTTTTCTGTAGGGGGTGAAATTAAATCTTAGTATTATATTTTATTCAGACAAGTTATTTAGTTTCACAATATGCAAAAAGTAAGACTAGATGCTCCAATAGTTTCTTTTATATTTAAAATCTTTGAGCTTGTAGATGGTTTGATGCTTTGAAATTGGTCATTCTGTTTCATAATTTTTTTCAGTTCACATGCTGAATTCACAATCATAACATCTTATTTAACAAAGTTTTTTTTTCCTAAATTCCTCATAAAGTAAAACCTCAAAGAAAGAAAAAAAAAAAACAAAAAGCCAAAAAACAACCCAAACAATACATGATAATGGTGACATGTAAAATTGACATGTACAATTATAATCATTTTATGTTACAAACAGCACAAATTATATATATAATATATTTCATGATTGCATCTCTATCTGAAATGTCTGGAGAAATCTTAGAACAGCTAGGTGGGCTTACTGAATTTAAGGAAAGAATGTAACTAGTTGAAATACATGAACTATATACTTAAACAGGATTATTTTCTTCTCTTAATATTCAGTTTATTTGCTTTGCAAAATATCCGCATCAAAATTCCAAAGGTCGGCTACTGTCATGATTTCCTTATTTTATCTTCTACAGCTCAATATTAAAAAAAAACCTTACCATTACTTTTAAATCATTCTACAAATATTTTCTTAAATTTAGCAACAGGAAAGAAATTAAAATCTCCTAATAAATGCAAGTTAATATGTTCTTTGCTAGCAGAGTGAAAGAAAACCCCCCAGAGGTACAAAATTAAGTAGTACATAAGTGTAGGGCAGATAAGGTATCACTTTAAAGGGTAGCTGGAAATTGATTTCTGATTAAAACAAAACATTAAAAACCACAAAGGTCCTTTTCAGATCAGGAGCAGAGTTATTTCTAAAAGTAACATTTTTCCTTCCTCAAACATACATTTTTACTATAGGAAAGGATTGAAAAGGGAAAAGTGAATTAAAAAAAAAAAAAAAAGATATTATTTACATACATAAATTGATGCATGGATGATATCTGTATCATTATATGTATATATAAATAATAGGTGGACTCACTTCTAAGAGTTTCATTCCGGCTGCCATTTGTCATGAATTAACAATACTGGTTACAAGTGAGTATTTTCCTCATCTTTCTGTATCTATCTTTCTCTATCCAATTTTATTCCTAGGCTAACTCTCACACTATAAATCCTTAGCGGAAGTGATGTCTCAGGAATAAAACAGTGAACTCTGATTCCAAAGAAACTCTTGTATGAAAATACAGCTTTTCCAAGAATCATTTCTAATGATGGGATGATGCAGGGCTTTACCAAAAGAGTGGAAAATACTATATATTGTCACAATACAAAAGAAGAGGAACACAAGATATCTAAGCAAATTACAGGCCTATTGGTCTTAGTTCACCTGTTTGTAAGGCTTCAAAACAAATTTTTAGTTAGGAAAGGAATAACTTAAGTTTCCAATGAAAATGGATCACAGCACAAAAGGCAATATAACTTGGTAAAGAGCCATTATTCCACCCTAATATTGTACTTTTCTTTAATAACATAGCTGAATTGCATACCACATTAATGTGGTAGAGCTCCTCTTCGTCAGGGCTCCAATTAAGTATTTCATAAGCTGCCACATGGAAACTGATTAGCTCAGCTGGCAAAAATAGGCATTATTACAAGAAAAAATGATCTGCTAAGTAAAGAGCTTGTGTTAGAAAGTTACTCATGGAGTTCCTCAAGAAATAACGTCAGAGCTCATCCTATTTTGTATACCCTTCAGTAGTCTTGGCAAAACCCCAGCACTCCGCAACATGTGCAGATGACACAAAGTTGGGAAGCATCACTAATACAAATGAAGACTGGTAATATTATGCAGGAAGAATTAAAGGGCTACAAAGATCAGAATTATAAACAGTCAGAGGAAATAGGCATAAGCTGGTCATAAATAAATATAGGTTGTAGATTAAAAATAAATAAATCTGAAACATCAGACTAACGAGGTTCTGGCCTGTAGCAACGACCTTGCTAAAGAAGTTGCATGAAGTATCCCACAAGGCCCCTTACAGCAGATTTGGACCACGTTATGAAAGGAATAACTGCTACGTGAGGTAGCTGCTGGTGATAGCAGGGAGTGAGACCAATTGACCAACGTGACTCCTTCCAGTTTCATGTCCCCAAGATAGTCACGCTCATGCCAGCGGCAAGCACTTGAGTGTCCCATTGAGGTCGATGGCTTTCAGCA